CAAGTCTTGGGCCTTGAAGTAGACTTACAAAGTTCTATAAAAATTGCTGTGAAGACGTTTTTTCCTTTTTTAGATGCGAAGATGACGCCAACAAGCAGCTTCTGATATATCCCAAAAATGGTTTGAGACTTGCTTATATTATGCAATGCCTTGCGCAGATTTATCGCCTTATAGTGAACGGGCAGCAATCCACAAAACGGTTCGTTTTTATAACTACCGTAAGTCTCTTTTGTTTTTCCACGAACTGATTTCTTTATATCTTCTCTTTGTGAGTTAGACTCGCTACTTTTAGCGACTTATATTATGAACGTGTATCGCTCTATAGGACTCAGTCGAACCTGAACCGGACAATAACTGCAATATGTGATTTCCTCGATGAACCACGTCTTGCGCTGAATGTTGTGAGTCTTAATTTAAACGGATTGTTATAGACAGAACATACGATTAATTACAGGTACAATCTTTCATTGTTTTGACACTTCAAAACAGCATAATTTTTACTTTTGTGCGGGGTGTGAGGCATGAAGCTCTTCGTTGTCAGTTGCTCGGTTTTGCTGGAAAGTGCCAAGTTCGGGTACCCATGTTATCTTGCATCATAGTGGCTCAGGCACCCTTCTTACGCAGTGCTCACTAACAACCACTCATAATGCAGTTTAACACACTGGTGACAGTGTGGCACGACTGCGCGTCCCACTTCGGATGCCACGTGTGACATCGTGACGCGGTTGCGCGTCCATTCACTTCTTTTTCTCACTCATGCGCGACTTCTTCGCAAGTTGCTTATATTTATTGTGTAGATTGCACCATATATTTAGGCGGAGTGGTTGGCAGTATTAGCAAATATGCTCCTGTTTAGCTGGAATTTTTTGAGCCCTACGAGTTTATAAATTTGGTTCATTCTTCGTTTTTGTTTTATTCTCACAAGCATAAAAATAGAAGAGTAGCGGAAGTAAATCAAATCTATACGAGTGCCAAAATATATGTCCGGGCTGGTTCACCCCAAAATACTTTCCCGTTCTTTCACTGTAAAAAAGTGGATTTTGGTTTTTCTTTGCCATTAACTTCCTTCTGATCGGAACTCTACTAACGTGAAATCCCGTTTAACTTCCATTCATTGAACATTGCTAAGATACCTCTGTGCAATTCATGTCTTGAATGGTGTCTTCCTAGGACAAAAAGCGACTTTCGCTTCTCGTAGCGCGAATCTTTATTGTGCGAGAAGCCCAAGTCCATTCCTGATCATGGTGGGGTGGATTCTGCAGCGAAGAAGTTTCGCGCTGTTGAGAGCGGAAAAATCGCCTTCTGCTCCAGCGGTCTACACCCATCTTGCATATTTATCTTGCTTAAACCGCGGAAAGGAATGAGTTAGCCACGCCGGCAAAATTCCGGCTGTTCCGCATTCTTCAGCCACGTGGCCGAAGAAGTCAAAACGCGCGCTATTGTCAGTGTTGGTGAAATACCAGTCAGCCACGGATAAGATTGCTCGATTCCAGATGAATCGCACAGAATTTATATGTGGGAGTCCGCTGAGAGTTTACGAAGGTCAGAAGTCATGCAAGCCGGGCTGGAGCGATGTACCTAGAAGTCCATCCTCAAATGCCTGTGATTTTCTCGAACTCATCATGCCATGCCTTTCCCTTGTAAGCATCAAAATTCGTTGAATCTTTTAGTATGAGGACTCATTAGAGCGCCCCACTGCTTCTTCCAGCTAAGCTAAGCTCCCTCATTCATATATCTACATGTTTTCAGCGCCTTTCACTTTAGAGTGCGACGCTGTTCAGGCTCTCAGCCGCTAGTCAATTTCAGTAAAAGCCTTCGCAGGAACGCTTAAGAGGTTTAATCTGATATTCCAATACACATGCACAAATACATATGCAATACACGAATATCAATACCAGTAAAATTGTGGCAGGAGTTAGCCGTTATAGAAGCTGGCAGGGGAAGCAGGAAGCCCTGGTTGTGTGTGGGAGGAAGATGCTCGCACCGGGCATCAAATGACCGTCCCGGCTGCATCGTGCCTTTCTGTGGTGAAAAAGAGTGGGTATCACTTTATCTATTCAGGAAGTTTTTGTGAAGTATGCGAAGAAGCGATAACTAATGAGAGAGCGATCATGTCAAAGAAAGGACAGCCTTTGGTGACATTACAGATAAATAGGTCTGCATACAGAGAAAAGTGAAAAAGTTATGGGAATAGCTTCATCCTGAAAGCGTAATTGAACTAAGTAGAACATCAAGCAACGAAAAGACTGATGTGATTACTGATAAGGGAATTTTTATGCCCAGAATGCGCAGACACTGATGGACCTACAGATAGAGGTCCGCTCACAAAGAGTGCTGGGGTAATGATTGAATGAAGTCAATCGAGATGAACAGCTAATCTGATTGATATGAATAACGACATTTATTTATTTAGTACATGTACCTTGCGTACATGAAAACAAATCAAGAAAACAAAATCAGTCTAAAACAACAATGATGATATCATACCCATAACAAACCAGAACACAACTGGTAAAACAATGGAGAAAGTAAAAAAAAACTGAGATGAAAATGAAAAAAACCATGAAAAACTTCAAAACATAAAGGTCGTTATAAGCGAAGAGACGAACTCACGCCACAACTAGCGTCGCCGCTTTTCGGGTTGATTCTTTTTGTATCGGAGAGGATTCATGAGCCCAAGAGCTTCGACTTTTGAGTTACTGGAAAATTCACATTTACGTTACCAGTTGACAGTCGCACGGGAGAGGGTTGTCGCGGCGCACTAACTCATTCCAGCAACAGTGATCGATTTTCCATGAAGGAAATTTTCAAAGTGTGTGAACTATTGCATCTTCTTGTGCAAGAAATGCAACGAGCATACATTAAAATGGAGATATTTCTCGCAGTTTTGAAGCTTTCGAGTGGTTTGCGTCGCGATGCCCACTGCATATCACATAACACCATATTGTTGAGCCTATGTACGTTTTCGCAGCAGTGAACATCATTTGTAGATTTCCAGTAGTAAAGGGATGTTGTCTGGCGCTCTAGCCTTCCTGACCAACGAGCAGAAATTGATTGACTGCCGTAATCAACAAGTGTTAATTTCAGGTAGGATTTGAGCTAGGAGTATGATAAGCTGCAGTATATGCAGTTACTTTCTATTTCAAGGAGGGCTCATTTCAGAATCCTTGACAAGTTTCCGTGTTATCAGTGATATTCAATTCATAATTGTCGTTGAGAAGGATGCCATGTTCAAAAAACTAATCGACGAAGGTTATTTTACAACTTTTCCGAGGAGTCTGCTTGTGACGGTCAGTTCTTTTCATCTTACGACTAGCCTCTACTAACGCTGCTTTCTTCTGTTAAGGAGCTCCACACGTAGTGCTCTCTTGGAACTAGACCGTAGAAGCACTAGGCTAAAAGATTCCTGTGCACTACTTTTGGTGCTCTGCATGCAAACTCTACTAGCAAGAGCTTTTGGAGAGTTACTCAATTTTCGGAATTTGTAGATGTTATATTACTAGATATTGTAGATGTGGTAACATGTGTGTTTTAGCACATCTAATTTTATTCCTCGGACCTCTGAGGTTAGTCAGCTGATTCACGAAACCACTGCTAGGGAAGAAATCATGGATGATCAAGAGTTGGCCAGCGCAATATGTTGGGTGTGCAAGTCTGCCCCCACCGGGTGTCACGGAAAGGGCGACATGATTCATTTCCAGGGGTGGAATCTTAATAAGTAATGCAAATATCTTTCTAACTTGCCATTCATAATATGCTATCGTGGTAATGAGGAAGGGGACGTAAAAATTTGGTTGTAAATAAAATGCTTGCCTGTTACGGACCCTGAGGTTCAAATATGCATATTTTGACTCAAACAAAAGGTTTTCTTTCGTAGTAAATTTCTGAAGTCTTTTCTCCTTTGCCAACATTAAATGTGTTCAATGAATTCGTTTGCTGAAAGCATTGGAGTTCTAGAGGTTATAAACTGGACAAAGGCTCATTAACTATTATACCATACTAGGTTTCGTAGCATTTCTCTTTTAAGGCGCTATGCAGACGTTTGAAAAACTGGCAGTGAATAGGTGAGAGGCCTAGTGAGTGAAACGTTTGAAGCACAGTTCAGTAGTTCAGCTAGTTCATTTTTAGCAGGGTCAATTCTGCCGGCGGCGGCCTTTTCCCATGGCTCTGGGGTATTTTGGCATTTTCTAAGGGCGCATGCATAGTTGGTCGTCCGATCGTAACGATCGCAACGGTCGCACAGCAGTGGATGCGTATCGATCGACAGACTTGCCTGAGTATTCCCGACGATCGATACGCATCTAACCTGTGCGATCGTTACGATTGGATGACCGACTATGCATGCGCCCTAAGAGTCCCACTATAACAGTAGCCTGTGCTCAGAGAGCTGCGCATGCTGCGTAACAGGGAGATCGGTTTCATCACCATGTACTTGCATGTTTGCGAAGTTTTGTTAAGTATCGTTACCGAAAATGCTCAGACAAGGTTCATAGGTTGTTGCGAAGAATCCATTCTACATAGCTTGAGCATTTCAAAAGAGAACAGGTCGTTCTTATCGGATGAAAGAAGGAATCAGCTATGCCTTATTCGGTAGCGACTTTCTCAACATCCCCAAGAAAATGTGGTTCTATCAAAACTTTCACTCCGTTTTTACCGTCGTTCGATATCCATGCGTACCCTCACCAACCTTCGAGGGTCTCGCCAGGGTTGCAGTGTAGTTTGGAGAGCTACAAGCTCTCCAAACTACCACTACACAGTACTTTTTTCATAAATACGAGTCCAAACAGGCAGGATTTTTTCCAGGGAAAGGGATATCCTGATATATGCACTCGTAAAGTTCTGCGTTGGTTAGTCGAGAAATTAAATGTTCCAATCTACGGCTTATTTGACAGCGATCCCCATGGTATCGTTATGTACATCTACCTTACATTGTTTTGAAGGGCCATCTCCATATAATCGAATTTAGGTATCGAGATAATGTTGACTTTCAAATACGGCTCTGTATCAGATTCCAGAGAAGGAAGAGGGTGCAATGTAAAAGAAATCCAGTGGCTTGGGTGTGTTTGAGAATCTCGTTTTAAATTAATTGTCCAGTAATATTGACACTTCTAATGAAAAGCGATCCAGATATACCCTACTTCTATTTTTTTATTAGTGTTCTTTCTATTTTTTTATATTTGTAATGTGAGTGTTTTCTTGCGGCGGGACCTGTGCAAGGACACAGTGCAAAATTTAACAAAGCAAGTCAAGATCATTTGCTGTTCAAGGAATATTGTTCAAGGAGTTTTGTTTAGATTTAGACCATCAGATATCTCGCAATTGCCCATTGTGCGACATCAATATTTGAAGCTTGGTAATCACGACTTTATGAAAATAACGAAGATTCGGCGAAGAGCTCAAGGATTGGGAGAACGCGATATCGTTACTGAGGTTTTTCATTTTCATCTGTTAAAATGTTGGGATTCGTAGCGTAGTAAATTCTTTCCTTTTTCCTTTTAGTCATAAGTTTTTGTCCAGCACAACATGATTTGTTAAGCGTCAAGTTCTGCTGAGCATTCTGAATGCCATCGGAACTTCAAGACATATTAGTGACGTAGCTTTTAAGGCGCGGAAATACTTTGTCATTATCTCACATTTCGAGTATGGAGTAGATATACTTGGTACCGGATATCTTAGTGTCGTTTTTTCACCACGAGTTTCGGACCACCAATATTTTAATTCAGAATCCGGGGAGTGAAACGGCATATTCATCGAATGACTCATTAGCCCTTTCCCATTTACCAGTATGAGTGGAAACCTCGTACGATTAAAGCTAGGAATTTTTTGAGTCGAAAAAGAGAGGTAGGTCGAATTTGACATCATCTGACAAATCATCCCTCTCACTTGCTAAAAAGTTAGGCCTGGACAAGAAGTATACAGTTAGTTAGAGTAGGGTCTGCACTGTATGGTGGAAAATTTAAAACTTACCAGCTCAACTGGACAATTTTTTCTTTTTTGCCACATAGGGTCAAAAACGCACCCTTTTTGAGCACACGTGAGTAGCAGATGAGCACATTTATTAGAATTTCTTGTGCAATCAACTTCGTTAAAGCGTTTGTGCATCATCGATCAGTCACTGCTAAGGTGTCCTACCATTTCAGCACAAGACTGGTGCAGCCCCGTCTCGACTGATTTAACTAGGGCCACCTTTTTGACGACGATTGCGGGCATCACTTCAAAGACTTCACTGTCTTTTGAGAAAACTGTGAAAAACCGATGAGCATTTAAATGGTAGTATTCCCTCCAACAAATGCAATGTTGGTTTGGTGGGCGGAAGTTGTAGCTCTCAGCAAGAATTTTGAAGCATTTGGTACACACATGCGAATTTGCACACTGGACCCAGGAATTTTTCAAAAAAAGTATAAAAATTGGGGGAAAGTTAAATTGTGAACCAACAATAGAAAACAATAAGCAACATATTTCGCAGTATTAATGAGCAAAAAGGACTTTCTGAGATATTGATTTTCCATAGTAATCGGCCCCAAAACTTCCTGAACTCAGAAAAGCGACACTAAGATATCCGGTACCTAATAGTAGATAATCGTGCGATCGCATGATTGAGACATAGCCACTTCACACCTGAACTGCGAATAAGGTACAAGCCAGCCGCAACGGATGGCACCAGATCCAAAATGACCAGATCTTCAGATCCAAAATTACGTGCAAGCAAGGCATTCTGTTTTGTTAGCATCGAGAGTTTCAGCTGGACCTGTTGCGTTCACTACGTACCAAATTGGAATTGGAAGCGCTATCTTCAATAGCCCCTCAGTATATTATTCGTTTTTATCTCATGCCTCGCCTAGCTTCATTACCCTCACCAAGCTCTCGAACGATTTTACCGCAGATTGAAGAACGGTGTCATGAAGAGAATGGCATCGATCGTGAAGATTGCGTTGAAAAGTATTAAAAAACGTTTGACGTTGTGCCCGCCGTAGTGGGATATTTATTTGCTAATGTGTTCATTACGCGTATCATATAATAAATTGTGCCGTTTGCCATGGTGACATTGAATATAATGTTAAACGTTTTGAAGTTTTTTTTTTCAAAGGTTTCAATGCTCAGAGGTTTTTCGTTAACGTATGTTAAACCATCTCGAATTTTTTTGTTCCACATCATTTCTATTTCAAGCTTTTGTTTTCGATTGAATTTTTACAAGTTGATGTTGTTTCATGGTTTATTCTCATCTCTCTCATTGGCAATCCCTGCAAAAATTGTTTCTTTTGGATGCCATGGGAAATGTCTTTCAAATTAACTGTGCATTGTATACGTGATCATATAACAATAATCACTGCTATGATAAATATAGTCTGTTGCGTATGAAGTTACACTATAGTACCTTAACTTCCCACCACATCTTCGTCTTTTTTGGGTATGGATCCCCGCTGGAGGAGTCTGGTAAGTAATTTCACTTTTCATGCTGTTCTTCTGTGTAAAGGAAACCGATCGGAGGGTTACACACGCTTATTCATAGACGTTTTAGGATATATGTTGACTCAACTAATTGTAAGTGTGGGCTTCCTACAGCTTTGCTTAAATGGCACATACTAAATTACAAGGCGAGGTGCTGCTATTTTGGTGGTCGACAATAGAGAAGGTAAGCTTCTTGGGTGATCTAGTTTTATTAATGAATGGAGAGGGCTTTCAGCTAGATTCCATCTTTTTCAATAATATGCCACCCCAATTTCTTTCGCATAGTGTGATGACATCTCTTTTTAAGTCGGGTTACTGTCACCGCAGAGATGGTCGGTTGCATTGCCCACTGGCTGCCTCATTTAGGGGTTATTTCCCCCTTTCTTTGGTGTTCGCACGGCGAGTCGAAGATTTGCGAGCTAGCATCGTACCTCGCCGCCCTCGCTAGCCTTATCTGTCTCTAGCAGGCCAAGGTCGCGGTGGATGGCTCGCTCACAGACTGCGTGCCTGGCCGCGCAATTTTCACAGTTCTCACCTGCTCGGCCTTATACGCGATGAGCATGGCTAATTCTTTGAATTCGTTGTCACGTCTTCTACCGTAATACTTGTTTACTTGTCCCCTTCCTCATGTTTGCTTTGGTCGGTGGCATTGTTATGTTTGAAATACTTGAAATCCATATTTAAAAACTAGGTGTTTCTTTTGGTTACGAACCTAGGGGTTTATCGAACAGTTATGGGTATTTGTTCGTTTTTATCCACACAACACGGCGAAGTCCACTTCGCGCACTTCGTCGGTCGGTAGCGTTGACCTACTTTGCTGTAATTGCTCTTCCGTGATATCGCTGTAACCAAGTGTGTGCTTCCGTGGTATGGAAATAGAGCGTTCTTATCGTCCAGCTGGTGCTTTTGCCTATTGTTGCTATTACTGTATTGTTATAGCAGATATTTACATCCTGGAGGGATCACTTTATTTCGGGCAATCGCGTCTAATGCACATTTCTCCTTATGACTATCTGGTCTCCTGATCTTACAACAACCTATATGACTAACATGTCTTCTTATTTGCGTCCAGCTGGATAATAATGAGCTCTCTTTTGGTGATATGCGCCTAATTTAATTGATAGGCTGACACGTGACAAAGTCCTGTGTTAGTGGTATTACAACTGTCTTCCATTTTGCAGAACCATTTTGATTTTATTATGGATGATCAACATTGTCATACTCACACTAGACTTTCACAATACCACAGTCTAGCTGAATCGGATTCCTGAAATATTTTATTGGGTGAATCTGTGCACTACTTCGTCATATCGAAGGAGGCATGATCTATGCTCGAAAGTAATGCTACCGATTCATCCCCATTGGTTTTATTGCCGGTATTCATCGGGGAAACGTTGTTTTTCATTGCTCTGTTTTGCATTCATTCAAAAAGAAAAAACCACCACCCACACACAGGGACGGAATTATGGTTAGATTTCTTCATTTGAAAAAACAGAAGTATACAAGTGGTGGAAAACTTTAATATAATGCAACTTTACTTTTCAAGTACGCTTTCATGTGTGCAGTAAAATGCTGTTCATCTCCAAAGAAAATGCTAAGAGAGCGATCATCACTAGGAAAGGATAGGTAAACGTTTTTCAGTTCAAGCATGATGGTGACAGGTAGTCTTAGCTTGGCATCGCTTATTGACCTTGCTTACTGTCGGTGGGATCACATACGGATATCGTTAGCGTTCGTGCATCTAATGGCTACTTATGACTGTGTCGCGGAATCGTGAGAGTAGTACACGTGTTTGCTAAATGACAGATAATAATGATTTGTTGATGAAACGTACGTCAAATATTCTGACCATTTTGGCTAATGTTTTGCCAAATTAGGAAGAATGTGAAGACGTGTGGCGTATTTTCACAGCAGCTGTGCGCATTCCTATGCATGGAGCTCAGAAATGAGGTTATATTTTGCGAGCTTTCTGGCGTAATACATGGCTAAGCTATTGTGTGAAAAAATCTCAATGTGCAAGTACTCGGTGCACTCATGCTTAGGAAATGCACTGGAGCGGAAATTCGCTTTTTCGCAGTGGAGCGTGGTGGCGGCTGCCTTGGCGAAGTTATTACGCCTGGAATGCGTAGCGTTTCTCCTCCTGGGGTCAGGCCACCTGAAATGAGACGCCGTTCATTCGCTCGGAGTAAGCTTAGGACTAAGCCTAAGTCCAATCATAAGCTTAGGCATAAGCCAATTGTGTAAGCATAAGCCTTCAACCTAAGTCTAAACCCAAAATCTTAAGCTTAAATGATCGCGCAAATGTGGTGACCTGACCCTCAGGAGGAGAACGCACGTCTCCCGAGGGCTCTTTAGTGAAGTCCTACTTCTGCGTTCCATTTGCGAGCCCCTGCAACTCCCAGAATTTTTAGTTTGAGAAATCGCTCTTTGTCTTGAACGGTGTCCTTGTTGAGAGCTTTACCTTCTCTTCCTTATGTGCTCTTATTCTGGAAGGCGCTGAGAAGGGGAAAGTCGATAAGAAATGGTCAACTGCTTGTTGTCGGAATCTTAGATGCATGGCTAAAATCGTTTGCTCACTCATTTTCAGTTTCATCGTCCCAGATTTGCGTCGCGGCGGAAGTTGGATTCAGTAGTGTGCGTGGTTCAGGGAGGGGTTGGCCTGAGATCGCGCGCGAGTGTGCGCGAGTGCAGCGTGGCGAGAGGTGATCTGCTTTCGAAACTAGATTCTACATAGAAAAAGAAAGAGCATCACTTCACAGTGGTGAGGTGTGTGTGCAAGGCGCGTGTCAAGTGCGTCGTGACGTTATTGCTCTTTTTTTAGTGAGAGTGTTGAGGTGAGTGTGTGTTTTAGTGCTGTGTGAGCGCGTAATGAACACAACTTATTTTATGTTGGCCTTTGACGAGCGTTCATTTACAAAATGGACTGAGGCGATCGGAAGTTCGAGTATTTTTTCCGACGGTGGATTTTCTAAAATTTTCCGTTTTGTTTGTATATTGTAGTTTTTCTATTTCTTCGAATCGATTTCTTTGTTTTGATTCGTTCATCCGCTAAATTAGGGGAAATGGGTTTTATCAGTTGCGTGAAGCAAAAGCTTTATTGCGGTTTATTTCAGGTATGCGATACCTAATCGTGTCATTTCTCTTCATACATATATCCTACGGTCAGTTCTCTAATTATTTTCGGCAGTAATCTATATCGGCATAGCTACTAAGTTTTCTCAGGTGGGTGTCGTTATATGTATCCACTCATAAGATGCTGATTGCGAGTTTGGGTGAAGATGGTTGCCCTAGTTGGTCTCAAAGAGATTCGGAGAGCAGTGTGGGTATTTTGAGCAGATTAAGTTCTTGGAGCTATTATGAAGATGTTGAATTACGGATAGAATATTGTACGTCTGTTATTCGTGCCAAGCTTTCCATTATACTACCTGGACCGTACCAGCTTTTCTGCGGTATGCTCGCCAGACTTCGACCCACACGGCTTTCATAAAACGTACCAGATATGTGCAAGCTGCTGTCGAATGCTTGCGAGAAGACGGGTGGGTGGTATGTGGCAGTGCAGTGAATAGGGACGGGCTTATAAAGTCCTAGTAAGAGTTCGAGTAGCGATAGAAACCGAAAGGATCCGATTCGGCCCATATCTCCGCATCCGTGTGATAACATTCGATTAGCCAAGAATTCGCGGCGAAAGAGAACAGTAGGTAAGGTAAAGCAAAAATTGGTAGCATGCCGAAAATTTTCATATCTTTGAGGAAGAGTGTGGTTTTTGTTGTGAAGAAATTTGACAATGCAATATCTCGCTTATTGGCCTCAATTTACAGAGAAAGAATCGCCATGCAATCCTTTCTATGTACGGTGGCCTCGAGTACGATTGAACTTCAAGCCAGTCGCTAACGCTCGGTTGTCACTTCGTGCTTGTGAAAGCGCATGCTCCCTTGGTGAAGATCCACAAACGCCAGGTCGCGTATTCATTTTTGCTAAGAATCCTATGAAATTTCTCGTATTCGAATATTATCTTGACACTTGCGAAGCAGTACGGTTCAGGCCGTCTACTGGAATGTGCTGCTTTGAACCATCACCCATCGCCCGATGGCTACGCTCATCATTGTGATGTTTTTCAACCACATCAGCTTCAAAACGTTGACGGTTACGTAGAGGCTGACGATCGTTACTCATTTTATTGGAAGTACTGCCTAAATAGTGAGTTAACAATCTTTACCAAAGTTAAGGGGGTAAATTCTATTGCAAAAGTCTTTAATATTGTATAACACAGAGAGGCACCAAAATTTTATTTCAAAAGAATTCCAAAAGTTCAGAAAGTTCAAAAATTCCAAAAACTCAAAAGTTTCAAAAGAGCAAAAAGCTATTTGAAAAAGAATCCTTTTGAAATCCTCCGCGATATTTCGGTGTTTAACACCTTCTTCAGGCATGTGTTTGCCACTGCCAAGTGTAAAGCTGCCCTTACGGGAGCCGCGCCTTTGGAGTGAAGAGAAATCTTTTGGAATTTTTGAACTTTCTGAACTTTTGGAATTCTTTTGAAATAAAATTTTGGTGCCTCTCTGTGTTATACAATATTTAGGTGCTGATGAGGCTCCGGGACAGCACAATATTAAGAGATCTAAATTTAACTTTCAAAAAACACGTATAATATAACTTATACTAATGTATGCTTCAAAAACTCGTTTGGTGACACATATTTCTTTGTCTACTGTTTTGTACCTCAAAACTGAGTAGCCTTGACAGATGACCTATTTCCATGGTTGGTCCAGGGTTTTCGTAGAACAATAGCGGAAATGTTTTTTGATTTGCACAGGATACAATCTCAGATAGTATCTGCGCATGGGATTGGTTTAGTCTTCGATTGAGAGAAGAAGTCCGTGAATTAGTTTCATCCTTTCCGTAAGGAGTGCTGTCGCGATAAAATCATTTTGCTGGGAATGAGATGTTGAACAGATTTTTTTATGTGGAAAACAGAGATTATTCGATAGTTTTGATATGATGTTCAGTGATTGGAGAAAATAAATTGCAACTTCAATAGTGACGACTAAATTTATAAATTGTGTTCACTTTGCGTACCTATTTGGAGTGAGAAGTGTTCATAAACATATCAGCTTTGCGAACAAAATTCAAGCAAGGGGAGCTCTACCGGTATCATAGCATAGTCCTTCGATCAGATTCTGTCTTGGCTCTTCTCTTCGAGTAAGAACCCATGGTGACTAGAGGAGTGACTGTTTACCTCATCCGCCACCAGTCGCCGATAATATTATGCTAGTGGACATTCGGTCACTTGTAGGATGCTGAACGGGCGTCATATATGTGGCCGTTTTAGTCAATGTTGAGCGCTTTATCTTTTCTTTATGGAATTGTAACGGATATGCAGATGTAATACGTCAACTTCCTTCTACCATCGGGTGGATGTGAAAGGTAGCAAACGGCGCCGCTAACACATAAGTAATGCAGTGATCGAATCCCGGTTCGAATACCATCAAAGCTGACTGAGCTCTTAGCCATGAAGAACTAATCATCGACATGCGCCTTATTGTTAGTGCTGTAGTGATGTAGTAAGAGGTGGCGCTGCATACCATGCGCACGGTCCGTAGATAAAAATGCCAATTTATGCGCCATCCGAGCCATCCAAGCCTTCCATTGCTCGGCGTTCCGAGGATTATCGCTAGCCAATGTGGGAGGATAAAGCGTTGATTTGTACATCGGCCGAGCAGGGCATTGATTGCTCAAATCGTGTTCGAAAACTGCTAATTTCGATTCGGGAAGAGGATGGCGTGGCGTATCCCAAAAAATACACCGTGCCGAATTTTCCTTTTTTGCTTGCACTATGTTTTTGACTCAATTATATGTAGATTTTTATTTAGTGAGCTGATGTCTTTCAGCATTTTTTGGGGTGTTAATCTTGTTAATGTTCTGTGTTTTAAAATTTCTCTTGGTAACGTTTTCAGCAACGCGTAAATGTGGAGGAGAGTACGCTTTTACGTACCACTCTGACCGCTACATGGACGCACGAGATGTCACTCGAGTGATTAAAAAAGGCAGTCTGGAGGAGTGTCCTCGTTGAGTGCCTTGATGAGAAATCGTGAGTAATTTGTAGAATTTTTCCGTGTTCGCCGCTTCACCTCTGACCGCATTTCCATTCCTTTCTCGGCTTGAATTTATTCTTCCACTCAGTAATAATTATACTATCAATAAGTATCCATTTTTGTGTGTCTGAATGTGTTCACGTTGCAGTGTTCCGTGTCGTTCGATTTCATTCAATCGAACAGATGGTGGATGCCACATATCAGCGGACAGTCAGCTCACTAAACCACAAGCTATCCACCTTAACAACAACCCGAATTTCCGAATTGATTACTACGAAAACAACTGCTACAACTGTAAGTAAATTCACGGAAGTTAATGTGCTGCTACGTCCAACAATTTCAAGCTTTTTCCCGATCTATTGACAATAGGAAATTTTGCAATTCAAGCGAAGATTCTGACTACTGTGTGAAGCAATTTTGTAGATTGAGTGTTGACGTCTGACCTAGTTGGTTCCGACTACTTTTCGGATTAGAAAAACGTGCGTGACTAATACCTCCGTAGTTTGAAGAGGATTAAATGGATGCACAATGGCTGACCTTACGTGGCCCCTTTTGACATGGCATGGGGGAAAGTCCGAGTTCAAATGGTAGTAGTTCGCAACCGGTTAATAGTGTCCGGGATGCGAGCGTATAGAAATTGTGGACAGGTTTTCGTGGATTTGTTCCATTCATACTCTGCAAGAGACAGATACGCATTGGATTTTATCAACGGCTCTCATTGAGTGAGGCCGCCTTTGGTGTGTAATAGATGAAATTTTCTACTCTCTCAACAATAATATAGAGAATATTTGGTGTCGCTACCACTGCGTACCATCATTTGAACTTTTGCGGAATTTCTGTCCGTTTGGAAAAGGAATCAAATCCTATACGTTGTAGTGTGAAATGATGCGGTATGAAGTTGACTACTGTAATCAATTATGGATGTGAGATAAGCAATGTGACACATCCTCGGCTATTTAGGGAAACGGTCTTCCATAGATAGTATATCATCGAATCGATAAATGTTATAGGAGCCAGAGCAGAAAGATCAGATGTGTCCTAATAGATCCTAGTTGGGTCCTATAAGCGGAAAACTTCCTTGAAGGCAGTGCATATGATCGGCGTGGGCGATTTTTATGGTGTCACTCAATGCGCTGGAGGACCATCTCCTAACTTCCTTCCGACAATCACGCATAGTCACCGAAGTCGCTCCGCCTACTAGCCTTCGTGTTCACTGCCTTAAACGGCGCTCTACACATTGCGCGGTGCGAAGAGTTCTTCAAAGAGGGAAGACGAACAGGTCAATATTATCATTTAAGTATTCATCGAAAAACGTGCCTTAAAACGCTGGTTTCTACCCAATATCTCCAGACTTCCTTTATGCTACACCCTGAAGGCAAGGCATGGAAACCCCAGAATACTTTGTTCTCTTGAGGAAGGAAAAACAGAGAGCTCAATGACATTTCGACACGCCCTTAGTTGCGCGCCACCACACGCACCGCGCATCCCTTTTCATTCTGGCACTACTGCGTTTACATGAACCTTAATTCGAAGGCTCTTGTAAACACAGTAGGGATATGGAAGACAAACACTCTCCTGAAATTTGTTGGTTCTATCAGGCTGCTGTGAGTTTTTGACGATATAATCCCTTTGTCCTCATGATTTTGGTCCTTCCTGT